TTTTTTTTTTTTTTTTTTCATTGCACTTTCCTACTGAAGAGTTCCAATTGATTGACGCGTACATTGCTGCATTGTCCCTTTTGGGTAAGGGCTGAGAAGACGCAATTAACAAGTTTCGAGAGCATTAGTCAACGCTAGGTGGCAACTTAAACGGCAAACAGACGGTCGCCCGTACTCATGCTAGAAATTTTTTTCCCAAAACTTGTCCTTTAAGATGTGTACGAGATTTCTGACTGTATTCGTATCATCGATATGGTGTTTACTTAGTGAGTTGATGCTCTCTTAAAAGCAGTACTATTTTTTAAATCGTCAAAACTGGTGAAGCACGTTTGAAATTCGCTCGTTACAACGCACAATTTCGTCGTGCGCAGAGTCTAGCCTCACTTATATTTACCGTGCGACGCGGTTTGATGAGCGATAAATTTGCGCTCAGCCACGTTATATTGACAAGCTGTACATTTTGAGGAAAGGTTGAGGAGTATTGAACGAAATTGAATAATTTGACGATTTTTCTTGTTTTCTACATCATGCTGTCGCCCTCTACATTTGATTCTCTTCTGATTATGGAAACGGAAAGGGCCCAAGTCTTACGAATTGTTAGCGGGTTATGATCCTCCCGACCTGTCAAACTTTTTTTGGTTTTTGCAAGAAAAATTGTTTCATAATTGTGCTCCCGCGCTAGAAAATTCCAGAATATTATATGATTGGTGAATGTTTTATTTTCAGTATTTTGAACTACCTACGTTGACCGATTTCATCGAGAGCGAAGAACAACGTGGACCGCCATTTTTTCGAGGTGATAAGGTTGTCTGGAGGTAAGTTTATTTTTCTGGAGAAGTACCGAGACATCGATTACATCGTTATATTTGGAATGCGCTATACATTCACCTGGTTCACTTTCCCATGTAGGATTAAAGTTTGCCCTTGGTTTCATCGTTGTGGCAAAAATCATCATCGTGTTTTTGGAGCACAGAAGCCGGCAATAAGAAAGGAGAAAATTTCCTTTGGAGAGTTTGTTCTTTACTGGAGCGGAAATTATCGAAGGGACTTTAAATCTCTGATTATTTTGATCCTTCCTATCTTCCTCTTCCGGGAATCGAAATGCGGAATTTGCTTGCTTCAAGTCCACATTGCCTTTGTTATGTGATGTCAAGCTCCTCGTGAGAACCCCCAAGCGTGTCCCAAAAGAACCACGACCCAACTTGGTGTATAGAAAAAATACTACGCAGTGACAATCTAAAAGAAGATTCCAGAGACCAGAATTTTCAAAGAGCGCTCGCAAAAGTCGGCTGGCGTTTCGATGGCAGCACGAGCGACTCGCTGAAACCCCTTTGTTTCATGCCTAGATCAGGTTAGCTTCATCCTGTTTGTATAGCATATTTATGAAGGGGCCTACTTGTTCGGTTTTTTACTTAGTCGATTCCTCTGACAATGTGGTTTTCTGTGAACCGTCCAATATACAAGCTCGTAAATAATTAACTTTTCATAAACAGACGAAATACGCACCTGCGTTACCTGCGGTGTGACTACGGATTCATTCGACAGGAATTACCGCACGATTTTCGAACTTCCACGGAATGCTACATTTGCTGTCGGTGAAGTGAGAAAGGTCAGTTCTAACGTATAGGATATTGATGGGACAGTTTTCTATGTATGGATGCGATTCGGTGATGTATTAGTCTGTTTCTACGGTGACATACCGTATTCGGAAAAAGTGAAAGAAAGATGCTACACGCCAATGTTTTCGATTTTTTGAACCAACTTGGAAAGATGAAATTGCGATAAGAAATTCGTAGTCGACAAGTCTGCAGAGGTGGTTAGCAAAAATGCAGAGACGGTTTTATTGCCTCATTTATTCGGAGATGCTCACACATGCAAGCAGGTGAAATTCGAATGTTCAGGCAGGGATAAAAAGTGGAAATTGCAGGGAAGGACAACAATCAAATCAATAGGGACGTGCTCATTTTCAGGTGTACAGAGATAGCTGTTGTGTGGATGTGACATTTGCGATGTTCAACTACCTTTACCATATTCCGGCAAAGATGCTACAACTTGCTGGAAATNCTACACATCTTCAGAGGAGTAGTATATCAAGGTATTGCAAGAGGAAGAGTAGAGCCAGAAAAGCGAAACGATGGAAACGTATGCCTGTTATGCGATTTTTGTGAATCGTTTTACCGAGAGTTCCACGAGGTGTAGACTTCCGAGTTCCTGACCTTCGTTTCCCTCCGGTCATTCTGGTCCGGGTTCATCTGGGGTTAAAAAGGGGTTAAAAATAATTGTATATTACTGTTTAATAATGGATGTTGCTCTGAGTCCACTTTGTCAAGATCCATTTTACAAATCTGAATTTTTGTTCTTTCTTTTCTTTGGTGTATATCAGAAAGAGGGATTGCGGTAGCGTCAACAGCGGATGTAGTAGACTTTTTTAAGAAACACAAATTTACAAATTTTTGAATTTCCTGCTGATGAACAAATGTTTAGTTTGTTTTGTTCTTGAATTTGGCTCCACTTTTTTGTTTGTATATGGTGATAGTATTACGCTCCGCTCTGTTTACTACTTACAGATGTCCTAACCATTAACTAACCCTTTCTTCTGCAAAATAATTCCGAATTTTTATGTTTTATTGTTACAATTTGTTTGAAAATCGTCTATATCTATCGATCCATTTGGAGGCACCGATGTTCAATAGTAGAGGAGAAAAGAAGTTTTCTAATAAATACATCCTAATAGGGATTTCTTCATTTCATCACATTACATTTATATTATTACACCCCATTACATTGTATAATGCTCAAAAAATCGATAGTGCACAGCCGCTCCGCGACCGCACTCTTAGGTGTATTGTACTTAGGACAAAATGTGGTCTGTTATGCAGGAAATAGTAGGATGTGAAGGATTGTATGTTTTCGTTAGAGGGAATAAATCGAGATCGATCATGTGAAGTGTGTGAGCCATTTTTTCCACCTTTAAATCCGTAGTGCAACCCTTGTGGATCATGTGACTTGACCATCCATCCGGAATGCCAGCTGTCTCTAGACACTAAAAGTTTATTTTCATTTTGACAACAGATCTCAAGATATCTTAAGGTGCAGAAATCATCACTATAATCACATTTTTTCTCCTCATTTCTATTATTGATTAGTATTTACTTCACTGATTTCGAATCTTAGGTTAGCCTCCGGTGTTGTAAGCTAAAGATCCGGCGATCTCGCCATGTTACAAATGTTTTCCTCTAATGAGTACGGATCTTGTTGAAAGCGCTCGACCAGTTGGAATTCGCTGGATGCCTTTAGTGTCCCCTTTCGTTTTTGAAAGCCAAGTTAATAAGCATTTAAATCATAGTCGCCTTATCGCCATAAGGCGCTAACTCTAAACGTGGTCGTACAAGGCTCATTTGCTTATCGATTTCTCCTCATAGCTCCTCTCGTAGCTTTTAGAATTCTTACTGTACAACCCTTTCTTTTCTAAGCTGCTCTAACGTTTCAGAAATGGTAGTTGATGCTCTCTTAAGGTGAGTGGTTTTCTTTATTGGCGCAAACTTGCCATTGTCCCGGCGATTTTTTAATTCCAGTCCAAAAGTGGTTCGGATCGACAAGAACGGTACTTCCTGCAAACAGGTAAGGTTCTCTATCGAATAAATTCTCAAAGTTTTTGCTTATTGATTGATTAGAGGGCGGAAATAATCGAATCGAATAGGAATGTTGCATTAACATTCACTTCTGAGCTCTTTTTTTTTTTCGAGATACTGCTAAACCTCCAAGTTGGACCACAGGATATCTGTCACTACGTGACCACATCGCAACCGCTCGTGCAAAACTGTCCAGGGCTCACTACTCATGGCAGATATCCTGTGCCCAATTAGAAGTTGACTCTCCATGGAATTAATAACGCAAATTAAACCTTGTTCGTCACAATTTCTTTCTACAGTTTCTACGAGATTCCGATGAAAAAGTCCAATTGAACATTGGAGGGGAGTTTTTCGAGGTGCGGGTCGCTGACCTGAAACGCTATCCTAAAACAATGTTTGCTCGGATGGTGGACCAGATATGGAGCAAAGATTTAGGTGAGTTGTCAATTCATTGGGAAATTTTCTTTTCTGAAAATTTGAGCTCATTTGTTTCCCTTTACCAATGCATGAAGAACGCTCTGTAATGTTTTTTAATACTTCTGAATTATTACAGTTTTATTCCGACTGCTTTTAGGTACGAGAGTCATATTTATTGATCGTTCTCCTAAATATTTCAAATTGATTATGGACTTTATTGTCAACGGTACTGTACAGTTACCACGATCCCGTATTGAATTGACTGAAATCGAACAAGAAGCTGAAGTAGGTTCATCTAACATCAAAATGTTTTATTTTTTATTTGCGCTGCTTTGTTTGCTTTGAAAACTTATAGGAACTAATCCTAATTGAAGTCTTTCTGACAGTATAGTTCATGTTCTATGTACCTGACAGTCAGTGCGCTGTTGCGAACCGATTGCTAGGTCATGGCATGCAGTAAAATGCAATAAAATCATTGCATTGTGATATGTTCGTAGCTCAGTAAAGCACCGACGAAAGAATCCCCACAAAAATTTTGATTTTTTGCAGTTTTATCAATTAGATGAACTGATAGCCGTGATCCTTCGCGAAGATCGTCGCTGCTTCGGTGAAGGACCGCCATTTTTTCCAAAAGACAGGTTCGTCACTCTAGGGCCCTAGGGCTTTATTATCCCTTTGTACCGAGTAAAATCTCTTCTTATCCTATACACATTTCTACTCAGGCAGTGTTTGATGGGGAACCACCTCTTTCTCGCACTGCCCTGAAGTAGCCAAAGATAGGGTAATGACNTTGATTATGGACTTTATTGTCAACGGCACTGTACAGTTACCACGATCCCGTATTGAATTGGATGAAATCGAACAGGAAGCTGAAGTAGGTTCATTTTACAGCAAAATGTTTTGTATTTTATTTGGCACTGCTTTGTTTGCTTTAAAAACTTGTAGGAACTATTCCTAATTGAATTCTTTGTGATAGAATAGTTAATGTCCGATATACCTGACAGTCTAGCGCGCTGTTGCGAAGCGGTTGCTAGGTCATGGCATGCAGTAAAATAAATCAAATCGTTGCTTTGTGATATTTGCTAAATGAACCGACGAAGAATTTCTACAAATATATCGATTTTTGCAGTTTTATCAGTTAGATGATCTGATAGCTATGATCCTTCGCGAAGATCGTCGCTGCTTCGGCGAAGGACCGCCATTTTTTCCAAAAGACAGGTTCGTCACTCTAGGGCCCTAGGGCTTTATTATCCCTTTGTACTGAGTAAAATCTCTTCTTATCCTATCCACATTTCTACTCAGGCAGTGTTTGATAGGGAACCACCTCTTTCTCGCACTGCCCTGAAGTAGCCAAAGATAGGGTAATGACCTGACCCCAAGGGAAGCTTCAGGACCCAAGCGAGATGGGTTTTCGAATGTAACGAGGGCGGAAGGGGATCTCAGGGAGCTGCTTTTCTTGTCTTTTACGTAACCGGTTTTTGATCGTAGACGAAATCGAGTGGAAATGAGATTATATACTAATTCTACAGTAATCTGTAATCGTGACGGGAGCCAAACTGCTAAAGACTCGAGCAAAAGCAGTTTGAAGGAAAACTATAACAGGCAAAACTCAATGGAAGAGCTGTATACCTTAACCATTCCTGATTACAGAAGAATGCAAAAATCACTTGAAATGTCCGCTATCACATTATGAACTTTCAGAGAACTTAATCAAGGGATCAATAAATGTCCAAATAATCGACATTTTGAAAAATTGATGTGAAATTGGGTTCAAGAGATAAATTTCAGAGTCGTCTGGAGAACGCGTAATTTCTGGCGACAAATGCTTGCGAGAGGATGGCGTTTCGATGGCAACAAAGAACAACTGCCATTGTGTTTCACACATTTTACTCGTGAGTGTGTGAACTCGTTCAACGATAAAGGTTGTCTCGTCCAGATTCCCTAATCTCATCAGGGAAACTGGGGAATTGTTCAGTTCTCAATGATCATCTTCATTAGAAACCAATCCTAGTCAACAGCAAATCTGACGACGTACTATATTAACACTTCAAGTCCTGACTCCGCCCATTTTTTTATTTACAGTTTTTTCACCGAATGAGATCTGCTATTTGTGTGGTGTTGAGACGAAGGATCTGAATGGTCTGTACAAGTGTTTATTCGATTTTCCACGAGATTTCAGCTTCACCATAGGAGAAATTGATAAGGTAGTTTCTGAAGCGATCAATCTTTAATCGATTGAAATCTTGTGAATAGGACTACTCTGCATCTCTTACCGTCTCTTACTTCGAGGGTGGCTTGGCTGAGTTACTCTTTTGCTGTTTTTCAGATCTATGGTGATTGTTGCTGTTGTGATGTGCGATTCGGCAAATCTTCATTTATTTTTCACATTCCGACCCCACTACTTCGCTTAGCCGATTGAAATTCTTTAGGAAATCTCTTTTTGAGTCGCTTCATGTACATAATTTCCCATTTTGTATGTTTCCTTCATGTGATCTTTGTTTGTACCATTGTAATCTTCACGAGGTTAATCCTTCCTTTATGTCATACTGCCAAGGGTCATCCTCAGATAGTAGATGACAACAAAATATTAGTGATGGTAAACAGTGATCGTGACGTAATTTCTCAGAACAATTCCCAGACACATATTCACAGAAAACTCCGCCCATTTTGCTCTACCATTAGCCTTTTGCGGTAGATTCCGCGGAGAAAATCCTGTGTAAGATGGTTCAGAGAACGAAAACTTCCAAGAAAGCAACATTACCACGAAGAAATTCGTGATCATAACAGAGGAACCCAAGGAATGTTTCATTGCTCTCGATGGCATCTTTCATAGTCCGCGACCAGTCGCGCGACCGGTCGCGCGACCGGTGGCCGGTCGCTCGTGAGATGGGTCCGCGACCAGTCGCTAGCGACCGGCGACTAGTCGCGCGATCGATCGCGCGACTGGTCGCGCGACCGGTCGTGGACTATGAAAGATGCCGAATAGTTTCCTCTCACTTTGTATGTAATCTTAGCGACCAATAACTCTTTACCACCTGATACCTTCTTACCTGGCTGCCCTCCTGATTTCCTTCTTTCTTGACATGCATGATTCTTTCTGTACTATTAAGTCATGGTGTAACTCAGCTGCTCGAAATTTAGAGATCTAGATTACTGTAAAAACTTTTTTGCTTCTCATCAACAGTTCTTGCTTGCTGGCTTGCCTTTGAGGTTTATACTCGATCATGCTTAACCTTTTATATAATAAAGCCTATTTGTTGCGAAGTTGAATGTTTCACAGTTGAGGGTTCATACAAAAAGTCCAACTCCTTCTGGGCTAGGGAGCTGGAATCGGAGGCGATGTCCTAATTTACCACTCATGCCAGGTCCAGTATGGACTCTTAGAGGCAAAGCATCTCCGTGGAGAATCACTGGGATGCCTTTGCTCAGCCTTCAAGCAATGGTTGGAGGGCCACCCTCATCCGAGCCCAATACGACAGGGATGCCTCTGCACCCACTGCAAACGTGGATATGTTGGCCATGCAGATGTGTGACTATACGAACTTAGTACTTTAGTGACTTTTTTTGCGTGCTGTGTTCATTGGAAATGATAG